CGCCCCAGTCATTATATTCTTTTACAAATCAGCAGAGGTCTCACCTACATTCACATGCACCCAGATGAAATTTACCCCTAGTGTAGATTTCAGAGGAGACTGAGAGTGTTGTGCCTTCCGACCTTTCTTCAGTTAAGCATTTCTCAGCTGGATAGATCCCCCCCAAAGCCAGCACAGTGTACCGAAGTGACTACTTTAGGGTCACTCAGATGAGGCCAACTACTTAGCACAAAGACTTCAGGAAATCCTGGAGGTCTTCCTGAAAGAACTCTTAAAGGTACCAACCACAAACCAGCCAAAAGTAAGTTACTTCTGTGTGTGAAAGAACAGTGGATGCCCTAAGAGAGTGTGGATACAAATGAAATCCGCTGGCCGCAAACCCACGGGCCCCGTCCCCTGAGAATCGCCCACCAGTTGCTCTCTTCACATGCCGTGGAGGAATTTCCAAAGCCCGTGTTGATTGCTGTATCCGGGTTTGTCTTCCGGTAACGGTCTTGGTGTTGTTTGTGCAGATGAAGGCAGCGAAGTGGAAAGTGAAATGGACGAAGAACTGGACGACTCTTCGGAGCCCCAAGCCAAAAGGGAGAAAACCGAGCTGAACCAGGCGTTTCAAGTGGGTTGTATGCAGCCCGTTCTCGAGAGCGGCGTGCAGCCCAGTCTCCTGAATCCAATTCACAGCGAGCACATCGTCACAAGTAGTCAGACTATCAGACAGTGCAGCGCCACGGGAAACACCTACACTGCGGTCTAAAGAATATTAAAGCGTATTTTTCCAGCTAACGTTACCCCTGTTGATATATTGGGCTTAAGGTGAAATTTTAATAAGCCTGAAGGTCGACTGTTGTCAAATTCTATCTGTGCTGAACATTACCTTTTTGGAGTTGTGAAATGGAATGGATGTATGTATTTTGCCAGGTGTTTTTTTTTTTTGTTGTTGTTGTTGTTTTTTTAACGTAAAAAAAATCATTTGCCTCTTAATAATAAGTTGTTCTTTTTTTTCCTTTAGTTTCAGGTGTCAAGAAGGATTTTTACCACACTTAATGCCAATGTGTTCGTTTTCTTATAATTAAAAAGTAATTTACATTTTTTTGTAGCTTAAAATATTTGATTGTTGATTGTTAGTCTTGGTGTATGATTTCACGTGTGAGTTTTTAATTAGATGCACTTCTGTGAAATATCAAAAGAAATGAATTCCTTTGATTTACACTGGAGGCATGCCCATTTGGCAGCAGATGCATTGAATTTGCTTTTGAAAGGTGCTTTTCATTGGACGGAACCACAAGACACGATTTCGGTAACTCTTTGGTACGGAGAGAGAATACAGAGCATTTTTATCATGGCGCTAGAGGGTTGGGAAGGTCATCTGTTTTTCTCCGGAGAAAAAACCTGGAGCTAGTGCATTTATCTGTTCAGAGTAAATGACAGACCTGCAAGAGATTATGCTAATATGTACATAATTTGTGTACATAATTATTAAACCCTATTAACGCAAGCTTCCGTTAAACATTGCATTTTAACCGTTATTTGCATACCGATTCCTCTGTTTAAAGACTACTGATTCTGTATTTGGGACCACTGCACAGACGCATTCTGCTGTTGAGCGGGGCTGTTATAGTTAGATACTGAAGCTGAAAAAAAAAAATGACTTGACTTTTTTTGTGTTTCGTTTTGTTTCGTTTTGTTTTTAAGTGTACATGCTACTTATGCTGAACTGGACATACAGGAAACCATTCCATTTGGATGACTTTCTTTTATTCCAGGTCTTTTTCCTAATAGTAGTTCCCTCTGCTGCTATTATAAAAGAAAATTTATAGAACGCAAGGAATGTAGCAACCTGCATATCGTTATTTCCTTCAAATCTATTTCCTGGTTTCTAAAGGGTGTGGATTTTAAATTGTAAACACAACCTGAGGGCAGTATAGCTGGCTCACCACACTGTTGCTTTATCCCCATTTCTGTAGGATTTGGATAGGTGGCTGGATGGACCAGTGCCATTGAAGAATGTACATCAGGGATCATCGTACCTCGGCTATTACATGGTGCCTTAAAACAGAACTGAAGTTAAGGTTTTAGTAAGGCTTATTTTGTTCATGTGAATTCCTCCGCAATCCATTTGACAAGGTGTGCCTGTCCCTTTCCGATTCCCGAAGTGAGGACAGGTTACGCGCTCTTCAAAGGAAATGTAGGGCGAACAAAGCAAAGCAAAAAGACGAAAACTCAATTCCCCTCTTGGAGTGACCGCGGACGTACTTTTTGTTCGTAGAGCTGACTATGACTCGATTACCCATCAGATTGCTTAAGGGTGTGGAACAGCGGACTGGTTTTTAATTACCAACTTGTCGCGTACCATCACAGGTGTTTCAGACCGTTTGTATCTAGTTCTCATGTCAGAAAGTTGACGAAATAAGCAGGGACTTATCGAAGTGCATCTTGTCAGTCTAAATGTTTGTGTCTGCCTCTTGGTGTCTGTGTGTCCACGGCATACACACGTGCCCGCGGGCGGGAGTCAGCTGCAAAGTCAGGTGAGGTCCTAGACGGGACCCACCCCCCATCCATCCTTATGTTAATTTACGTGAAAGCCAAGGTTCTTTTAAACACTCGAGTTATTAACAACCGCCACACACACAAAAAACAAAAACAGGCACAGCCATTCATTTTAATCGTTTTTAGAAAGCTGATCAGCAAAAATAATACATAAACACATAAAGCCCCCTCCCCCCCCAAAAAAAAAGAAAGGGAAAGCACACATGATTTACAGATTGTTAATGAGGCCTGTCTCAAACTCAAGATGTTTGTCTTTCTGGTTTTCCTGGGGTGGGCGAGAGGGCTTGGAAAGAGGGGGATGAGCCAGTCCGTAAAGTGAAAAATACCAAATGGCGTATCGGGTACCACGAGGTGTGTTTTCCCTCCGGTGGCCCGATTGCCTCACACTATTCACGTAACCAAGATCAACAGAGTTTCTGAAGTCAGCTTGAAACGTTTCAGATGTAATTTTGTATGACTCAACTCACGCATCTCTTTGGAAAGTCTTCACGAGCATTCGACCATCACCTCACCCAAGTATCACTTGAGTGGCCCTCCCCCTCATTCTTCTCCCCAAAAGAGGTGATGGGTTGGTACCATCACACGCACAAAAAAGGCAAACACACAGAACACCTTCACCACGAAAACCCCGCACGTCTAGCTCCTCGTGCGTTGGGGAACGTTTACAGGTGGAATTAGTTCGAACCACAAGACGAAAAAGAACCCCCCCTCATTTCAACTCTCCTTTCTGAGACGCTTGTTCGCTTTCCTCTCCCCCGCCCACCAGCCCCAGAACTGTGTTCCATCTGTATCGGACCAAACGTTTTTGCTGCTTTCGTCTTGTTTCTTGGACGATTTTAAATGTATCTATTATCACTGTTTAACGTTGGGTATGTTTGTATCATTAGAGGGATCTGATCATAATGGGCAAAGTTCGATGGATGAAAGGTAGGGATTGGGGAGCCTCCAGGATTCAACATTTCTTCTAGGTGTTCGTGGTTTGCATGAACCATTCTCACTTTTCAGCCTGACTCGCTAAACACGTTCTGGGCTCCTTTGTGAACACGGGAGCATTCATCTGTGACAAGGGCAGATAGTTTTGACCAACAGACAAAAGCGCGTCTTCATTCTTTGCTACTTCTGGCGATCTGTCGTCCACAGTAAGATAGGACACACCCCTAGTCAGACACAGACATCTCAGCCAATCTTGACTTGGCCTCGTGAGGTATATTAGAAAACTCAGACCTCACCCTTTGTACGTCTGAGGAGAGTCGAACGATCCCAAGTATTGCTTTGATTTGACATTTCATTTTCTTTTCTCTCATTCATTGAAACTGTGACTTTTCTACGTAACCGTGACACTAAGACTCTCAGAGTAGATGTATTGACAAGTGACAAGTCTACACTTTAAGGACTTCTTGACATTTCTTGACGTTGTAATCAAACCACTAGTCATGGAAACTATCTACACAGACCAAGTGCTACACTTTCAGCGACGAAAATGTAAGGAAGGCATGTTGGCTGTTTTTAAGTTTTAGAAAAGATACTTCCGTATAAGAGGATTGCGTCTCGTGGGTATGGTTTGACCTTCACATACATACTTTGAGAACCATACCTGGAAGATTTACGTTTCATGAAGCCAGTGAACAATGGGGTGAAATGGGGGGACCATCTCCTCGGAACACAGGGCCCAACTTTAAAATTTTTCTTTGGATATCAAATGGCTGGTCACTTTTTCAGGATTCTCATCCAGACCATGTTTGGACTGACTACTTTAAGTCTTACTGCCTTTTCAGAAATCTGCTTTCCTTTTTGTGCTTTTTCTTGTACTGTATAGGACGGTTCACGCACCTCTCTTTAGATGGTGTACTTTAAAAAAACAAAAGCAAATTTGAGAAAATGGTTTTAACACTGCATACCTAAAATTAGTCGCGTGCAACGTTGACTGCCTTTGATTTGTAGTGGGTGAGTAAAAATGAACACGTTTCTCGTGGAATAACGCTGTCAGAGTCATCCGGGAATGACTACGGTTTCATTACTGTAATCATGAACCTTTTTACATGAATGCACTCTCTCGAAGTGCTAAACGTGATGCATTTTCAAATTGGAAAAAATTCTTCAGATGATATATTTGAGATGTCTAAAACGATGCTGTGCTTGAGACATTAGTGTAAAAGGGGGAAAAAAAATGAGTGTCACGGTGATGTTGGCCCTCCCTGGGTGGACACAAGTAGAAAGTAAACAACTTTGGCAAATCGCCTTCCTGTACGATTTGAGGCAGTAGTTATATACAGCAAATTGACCTTCGTTATAACCTTCTCTCCCCCAAATTCTTGGTGAGAAAACCACTCGCAAAAAAATCGAAATCCGAACTGACGATCTCTATGAATCACAGCAGAACATGGGGGAGAGGGGTTGACATGCAGTGCTATGAAAATTGGGCTTGTCACTCGATCAGATCAACCTCCATGTATATGGTTAGAACAAATCAATGAATGGAATCCTAGTATTTCTGCAAGTTTGGTGATTTAAAAAAAAAAAAACTGGAATAGAAGCATTAATTCAGTGCTTAGTTCTAGTATTAGAAAACCCCTTTGATGTAATGCCTTGTATTAACCCTTTGAGCATTGTAAGATATACAATGGGGGACAAAAGCCTTTCAGATCATTTATTTAGAGTTAGACCGGTAAAATATACTCTATATCCAAATGTCTAATTATGCTGTTTTTTTAAAGGGGGGGAGGGGGAGGAAGAGAAAGTGTTTCCATGCTGAACACTTGCATTTTATATACAACTCTTAATTTTCTTCTTCAAGAGGGCTTGATATATTTATTCCCAAATATTCACTGCCATCTAAGTAAGTGTACTGTTTACAGAAAAAAAAAAATCAACTTTTCTAGCATCACATCATGACTCTAGAAAAGGAGAACAGATACATGGGCCTGTAGACCTATGTCCTAACTGATCTCTGCACATCGAAAAGTACCTAGATTGCCTTTAAAAGGTATGATAAAGAAAGGGTTACGTTTCTTTTCTTTTTTGTTTTTTTCTTTCCCCAAACAAAACAAAAAGATCGCGTTAATTTAGCTTTAGGAAGTACAATTGTTAAGCGAAGCCTTAGGAAGAAATGGGTTCGAGTGGGTGAAGCAAAGCTGAACTCTTCGGGGGCAGGTAAGCTATTTGGAGTTAGAGCTCTCATAAAACAGCATTTGGGACTTTCACACAGGG